GGAGGAGACTCTTGGTGGAGTTGCTCGAATTTCCCTCAACTGGTCGATGTAGGCTGAGGAGGAAATATGCCAGCATTGTTGTCGGAAATTGCGACCATTTCTGTAAGCTTCTCCAACTGCGTGTTAGAGCGTTGGAACGAGGGGATTGTGTTCGTGTGTGCCAGGGGAGATTTAGTCCATATTTAGCGTAGAACGGATTCATCAAAAAGAGGCGCATATGCCGAAGGAGTTGAGAAGGAGACCTGTCAACTTTTTCGATTCCGGAAAGTAGGTGTCGACGACGAGCCTCCTTCAAGCTGGTCAATTGCGTGAGGGCAGCATCTTTCAACTTTTCATAGGGGTTTTCAGAAGGCATTGTTTCAAGCAAGTCGATAAATTCTGTAGCAACATCTCCCGGTAACTATGCAGCAACATGTAAATACATGGAGAACTGGGAAGTTATCATCTGATTGCGAAAGTTGGCTTCAGATCGCCTAAACCAAACTCGGGCGTTGGAACTGTACTGAAGAAAGCAGCCTGAAGTGCTATTATCCGAACATGGGTTTACAGCAATGATGTCACTCATTGTTAACAAAACAGAGGGTTGTGTAATATTCGAGAGAAATTACCAATTGGCAAAGTCGAAATCTTGTGGTTGCATTTTTCGGGGTCACCAAATGTAGCGGCTCTGTGGTTAGCACTACCTCACAACCCTGCTAGTCGACAATTCGTATCGGCCCGAGAAGAAAGGCAAGACCGCTTCATTTACATTTGACCGCCTAAGTCTTTTGCACCTCGAACGCCAAGTGTAATCGACAACCGACGACATGCTCGTTTTATGAACGATCACTACATGGCGACTTCACCTTGTGTACTTAACTTTCCTGCTAATACCAATTGCATGCCAGACTGATTACCTAAATACGGCTAGGGTTGCCGATTGCCTCAGTGCGCAACACCGAGCCAATCATGTTCTCAGCATTAATCGGATCCACACAAATTCCTCTTCTAGATATTATCCACCAGGGAGAGGATGGCGAAACCTGGAGTTATGGTGCATCGCGTTTTACGATTGGGACGATTTCCCCCTTTAAATGTTATCACTAAACCGATCGTGACCTCTTAACCCGCTCGGTAATGCCATCTGGACGAGTTATCTCGCTGGTGTTTATTTTGCCCCTCTAAACTCTCCCTGTGGTATGACCAGTTGGGTTGTGTTGGAGGTGGCGGAGTTTCGCCACTGTCCAGAGAAGTGGCCGTGCTTGTCCATACCGTCGTTTCTTTCAGGCCGCCTTCTTTCCGGGTGGAGGACGTGGTCGCGGCCGTGGGAACGCAGGGGACTACCACCGACAGCAGTACGCCCACCATCAATACCAAGGGGCTCCTGACGGGCCGTACGCTGCGTCGTGTGGCACACCGACTGCCAGAGGACGCGGCTTCATGCGTCGGCCCCACCAGTCCACTCGCGGTGGACGCGGTGGTGGCTTCAAGGCTGCAGCAACGCCCAACTCACACAACCACACAGTGAGTCGGTCGGTGGGTGTGCGCGCGCACGCGCGCGTTGTTTTCGTCTATCTTGCCTTTGAACACAATACGAACGCTGTTTGTAGTTTGCACTCCATTCAGTGGATTCGTCCATAAGCTCGTCCAACAGCTGCCTTGGGCAGGCCTTCACTCCCCAATGCAATGTCTGAAAAAACAAACAGTCAAGCCAAAATTTTATGAATCTGGCGACTAAACCCTTTTTAATCGAAATACCGTTGCACCTTTTGTGAAGCATTGCGCTACCGACGAAAGCAAGAGGCTACAGCTCTGGCAACCAACGTCTAGAATGCCTCATTAACAAGTTACAGTCGTTCTAGCATCGTTGGTGTTGGGTTGATGACATGATTTTGGGGGAGGACGCCCAAGAAGCATTGAATGCTAGTCGCCAAGTGTCTGCTTCTTGGCAGATCTTTGGTCCACACCGTCGTTACGACCAAAATCACTTGTTTCAGCCTCGTGGCGGTGTTGCTAGGTAATTGGATCGCGTCTAGTTTAAGCTACTGCTGAGTTACTATGGGCTTCTTCTTCCTTAGTCGGAACAGGCTCTGACCGGTGAGGACCTCAAACCGCACGACCATCAACACTTTTCGCCTCACCAGGACCCTAGCCGAGGTGGTGAGATGCGTCCGCCTTCGCCAAGTGCCGGCGTCACCTCTGAACCGCCTGACCAGCCACCTCTCAAGTCTCCCCACAACAAGGAGGTACAATTTTCTACCACAGCTAACTTGTTTGCCACATCATCTCGATTTTTTACACCTCCCCTATCTTCTTTGGCGTAGAATGGTCTCGTTTTCGGTTACCCCTCTGCGCCACCCCTACATCCGCCACCACCGCCTCCGCTTCAGAACCACGTCGCGATCCAGAGTGAGGAGCCGCGACCGGCGAAAGACTTCTCCTTCATGTCTAACTTCACCCCGGCTGTTGGCGCAGTGCCGTCAGGAGACGTTCAAACGCCGCCACCGCAGCCGCCACAACCACTCAAGCCTCCCACCCGGTGGTACTACCGCGATTTGGCCGGGAACTGTCGAGGTCCCTACGACGACGCCACCATGGCCGGCTGGTTCACTGCCGGTTACTTTCCCATTTCTGTGGAGGTTCGGCGCGAGTGTGACAGAGTTTTCTCCCGTCTCAGTGAGTTCTGCGCATCATTGTGCTTTTATTTCGGCTTCTGAGGTGGTGTTGTCCCGGACAAACCTTGTCGACTGAAACTCGACACGACGTTCCCGGGGAAGGATGTGTGTTGTTGAATACAAACCGTGACGGCTGTAGTGGCTTGCTCACGGCACACACGACTGTTTACGAGCGTCAGGCCGGCTCAGTGCGTCTGTGTTTAACAGAGTTGACGTATGAAGGCGGTTGTGAGTTGTTGACACCATGGGGTCAGTAAACAGGCATTACTCAGGCTATTTCTCTGAAATACCCACCACATGATGACCTCTCCCTACTTCTCATGACTGTGAACTCGCTATCTTTCTTTATGCGCCCGTCGTTCCTTGCATGTGCTCTGGCAACCTGACGGAAAGTTGGGTGTATCCGTTGACGGTTCTGTGTTCTTTTAGCTGACTTCATAACCTGGCTGGGCAGGTTCCCTTTCATTGGCTCAAGCGAGCTTCCCCCCATACTGGAGTCGCGACCCTCCGCCCCACCGCCTCCTCCAACGGGCTTTGAGAGGCCCATCCAGCAATCCGAGACGACGCCACCTGCACCACCCCAAGCCTTCGTTCAGCCTCCTCCTCTCCTGGCAGCTGCTCCGATTCCGGTAAGTCCAAACAAACCAGCCAACAAACCCGCGATTTGTCTAGTCTGGGGAGTTGGCACATCCCTTTTTTTCGCCGTTGGGTTTACCGTCGGTGTCACCATTTGTAGGGGTTCCGGGTGAACCGCGGATCAAGTCGGGACCCGTAATGGGTCTTGAACCACACCGTGGACCACCAATTCCACGGGCCCGACTAGTCTTCGCAGACACTCTCTAGATGACCGAGATAACTATTTACTTGCTGTGTCTGCTTGTCACGTTGAGATTAGCGGGCGGCAGAATTTGGGTGAATTAGTAAATGTACAAGTGACTGGTCGGTTAGACGAGCGGTAATCGGTGATTGGATGGGCATTTTGCCGAGGTTACTATTCACAGGTGTTCGCAGGTCGTCCGGGTTAGTTGACGGGGTGCCTTCACGATGGTATGGCGCTTGTCTGTTTTCCGTTTTTGGCGATTTCTCAGACCTGAAACGCTTAGACCATGGGATATTCGGTCGTTATTTTTCTATCTTTCTGTGGTAATGGGCAACCCGCGCCTCGGTCCCTTTTTTCGCTGGCATCAATTGATTTCGAGAACAAAGAGGTGGGACATACCTATTAGGCATGATGCTGTTTGTGTGTTGGTGAAGGGGTGCGTGGGAAGAGAGGCAAGTAGAGGTTAAGGCTAGACGCTAGGTACCAATCATCTTACGGTAAACGTGTTCAGACAGCCTCCTACTCACACGCCTCCGCTCTTAGGGCAATTATCAGTTTGTTTGAGATTGCCTACCAAGTGGGTGTCTGGCTTAATTTTAAGTTGGGTTTTATTTAAAATAGAAACATGGTCGCCGTCTGTGGTGATTTTGAAAGGATCACACGCCGGTTTCACGACCTCTCAGTTTAAGATGGCGACTCATAAACAACAGCACATCCGATGGCGCTGCATTTTATACGAATTCCATCAACAACGAAACAATGCTTCTAAAACACGGGGGAATCAATTTGCAGTGTTCTTGGTGCCGACGTTGTGTCTCAGGAAACGTGTAATTAATGATTTAAACGCTGTAGATGTAGTGATCTCGATCTTAATCACTAGCCGCACTCTGCGCAGCAACTCCGAAAGTGTGAAGATGCGGAATTGTAGGGCCTACTGGATGAAGACTCAACGCAAACGCAACAAGAGCTTGTCGCTTAGTTGGGGGTCACCCAAGCACCAAATTGAAGAAATTCAAAAACTTTGAAGCTGGAACTCACCACACGTTTTGACCGATCACAACGCACGAACACACATGCCTCTCACAGCTTATGACGGGTAATTAAAAATAAGCATTTTGTTACAAGAAATCCAAACGTAAAGTTGTGTCGTGGGTAGATGCCGGGCAGTAACCCTGTACATCGATGCCGAAACAGGCCATCCACATGAAGAAGGTTCTCCTGTGTATCTGGTAGGGGGACATGAAGAGTGTACTCTATTATTTGCGGAACACTACGGCCGATAATTGAACAAACCGAGCGAAGTATTTGAGCAGAGCAGGCCATTTACTAAGCAAGGAAGCAGGCAAGTCATACTGCTGTTGCTGTGTGACAACGCTCGACCTCATCACGTTGCTCACGCGACTCAGAAGACCCTCTTGAACGTGGGATGGGAAGTTGTGCATATTCACCCACCAAACTGCCACTTGTTTCGGTCAATGCATCAGCAGCACGCCTTATTGGACAAACTGTTTAAAAAGCTGAATGATATGCGTAAATTCGTCGTCGATGATGACGTTATTGCGTCGACGGAGCCTGCGAAATGGCGCAATGTCATGGAAGACGATGGACAACATTTCCAAGACTAAGTTCTTTGTTTCCTATCGATCATATTCAATAAATTCGTTAAAAAATCTGCAAAAATTGTATAATCTAATACCTATGGACATATGATGATTTAAGATTGTGAAAATTGTGTTCTGTGGAATCGACATGCCACCACGCGGTTATTTCGTGCTTTGACCGATCCCGCCTTTTCCCAGACAACCACAAGCATCTCCGACTTGAACTACCTAACCGAGGTGACCCTGTCGGAGGTGATTCGATTGAAGCGGGACGCTCAACGCCTGGTGGAGAGGGTCACAGCTCTGGGTGTCGATCAGACCCTCCTAGCGAAGACGTTCGCTGTCCTCGACCTTAACGCCGCCGACAAGCCCGCCAACGCCATCGACGTCCGCCAACTTGAGGCGGCGCTGCAGCAGCAGCAACCGGCTCCTGTGCAGTCGCCGCCCACGAAGGCTATCTCAGCTCCTCAACCAGAAGCGGGTGTCGGTGATGCGGTGGACAAGACGCCTGAACCTCTGTCCGAGGTCCACAAACCACCCACGGTTGTCCAGCCGCCTCAGCCATCGCCCGATCCCTCCGAGAAACAACCGCCAATCGTCAACGGCAAAGCCAAGAACCTCAAAGCGCCGGTGCAGCTGCCAACAATTCCAGAACCCGTGGCTGAGAAGTCGACAGGCAAGAAGAAGAGCAAGGCAAAGAAGACCAAGCCCGCAGCAGTTGAGGAAAAGACATCTGCCCCTCCGACTCCCATGGTGGTGCCTGAATCCGAAAACAATGGTGATACTGCACCATCGGTGGAGGTGTTGGAACCGCCTACCTCGGCCGTATCTGCGACATCGCCGCCCTCCCAGCAACAAGAAAAGAAGACGAAGAAAAAAAAGAAGTCCAAGTGCGTCCTACTTGATCCCCCTTACTGTACCAATTAGCCTCCTGAGACGATTTTGCTAAGGCTTCAATTTTATTCCTGTTCAGGCCCACAGCAGCAGATCTTCAACAACAGGCCTGGGAACAGGAGGAGCAGCGTCGGAGACGTCTGAACGCCGAACGGATCGCGCGGGAGAAGGCCGAAGCGGAAGCCGCGGCCGCCGCTGCTGCCACGGCGGAGGAGGAAGTCGAAAAGCCGACGGTGAAGCTCACGGCGGCAGCCAAGCGCCAGCAGCAGGAGGCGCTGCTGTTGCAGCAGCAGCGGAAGGCTCGTGAGGCGGCTATGAAACAGGCTGCGGAGAGCCTCGCGCATCTGAAGCTGCCGGAGACCGCGCGCTGGGCCTCCACCAACGTCAGCGCCAGCAACAACCCCCCCGCCTCCCTGGCCGACATCATGGCCTCGCAGATGCAAGAAGAGGAGGTGGGTGATTCCTTCCTGGCTTCATTTAGAACCGTCGTTGCCACTGCGCTCACCCTACAACACCCGATGTTTTGTTTATGTCTGTAGATCGCCAGGGCTCAGGGTTGGGGCAAGCAAGGCGCGACGTTTGCCTCCAAGCTGGCTGGCACCGCCTCACCAGCTGCGCCGGCCCACCACGTCACCACGAAACTCGTGACCGTCCAGCCGCAGTCTGCGTCGGGCAAGCCTAAGGCGACGCCGCCGACCACAGCGTCGCCGGTCGTGTCGCAGCGATCAGCACAATCAAAGCAGGTGCGTCTACTGTGTTTGGTGTTTTTTTTTTATGGAGTTGTATTTGCGCTCCACGTATAGTGGGCGGGTATTCCAGCTGCGCAGCTTGGCTCGAATTGGCGTTTTTTTTCCATGCTCTAGTCAACGAAGGTCGCGACCCAGCCGACCTCCGTTCCACCCGTGAACCCACCCTCCACCGCCTCCTCCACGAAGACATCCGTTCTGTCGATTTGGGATCTGCCCTCGAATCCGAATATCACTCTTCAGACAGCCGCCACCACCTCGACGAAGAAGTCTAATAGGAAGAAGGTTAGTTCACTGAAAACACTTTGGCCGTTTACAATTTGCAACCCTAATTCCCCAAATGTCCAACCCCGCGGCAGTGATTTTCTACTACCTTTGTTCTACGCGCGCGCGTGCGTGTGTGTGTGTCTGTGTGTGTCCGTGGTAGCCATGGCAACGTGTGTCAGTGCTTTTTTTTCAGTCACTCCTACTCATACTATCCTAGCATTTGTGTCCGCAGATAAGTTAAGCCTGAGCAAAAGCCCACAACCCGTTCTCGTCGGTTGCCGAGTCAGTCTCATGCTCGAATGGAGTATACTTAAACGCCCTCAAAGGTGTTCTGTCAATTGAGCCGAACTCATGCGAGCTTGTTCGTGTTTTTTTCCTTTTTTTCAGAAGCCCAATGCCAGCTCCCAGCTCCTGACTGGCCCCCTGATCACTCTGCCACCGAAGGCGAAGTCAGAGCTGGTCAAGTGGTCGGAGAATCAGCTGGCCGTGTTCCCGCGTCACAACGTCGACATTCCCACCCTGGTTGGCCTCCTCTGCGACATCGAGGACGCCGAGGATGTGAGTTCCTCTGCCGCCCCCTACCCCCCCTTCCAATGCTTGGTTTACCCCTGGGTCGCTTTGCTGGTTGCGATGTTAGTAGGTGCCGTCGTAACCTCCAGTTTCCCGGCCTCTCCCCGCCTTCGTTGTTTGCATTTTGTGTTGTAGTCCATCTCAACCACTTGGCTTTTTTAGGTTCTTGAGTGCATTGAGTCGTCATTCGGGAAGTCCCAACGCGTCTCCAAGTTTTCCAAGGCCTTTGTTGAGAAACGGGCCAACCTCATGGGAGCCACAGCCTAAGGTGTGTCTTCTTGCCTTGGTTGGTAGTAAACTTGTAAAATTTAAAAGTTTGCGCCACACCGTTCCAACGTTGCATTGGAATTTCCCAAATCTTCCCCTTCCAAACCCTTAAGTGATCGATAGATTTTCCAATGTTACCGTGGAACTTACACGGGATACCGAACACAGGGGGGCGATCCTCTCCCTGTGTATTCAAAACTGATCGGAATTCTCCATGTTATCGATCAGTCGGACGACTACTTTAGCGGCAATTTAATTGCCTTCAGCCCACTATCACGATGTTGTCGTGTCTTGGGTTTCATTTATTCCGTGTTTCCTTGTTGAAAGTCCGTTTTTTTTGCATTTCCCCCAACAGGTCAACTGCGTGCCCAGTCCTACACCCTACAAGCCCTGCAAGCCCCAGATTCCCCGTCCGGACGTCGTCATTCATCATGCGTATCCATTTTATGCCAATGTTGTTTTTGCAAACCACATGCCCACCCTCCCCTCTACTTGTCACGGAGACCATGCGCGCGCGCGCACACACGCACACAGCGAGAGGTATTCACCCAGCCCCTGGGCTGACTTGCTTTCAGTCGCCGACTTTATCAACGTTGCACCTTTAATAATAGCCTAATAAATTAACTTTTTGTACCTGTATATTCTGTTGAACTGTTTAACCGGCAACTGGGTTACGTGTGGCTGGTCGAAGTGGGGCTTCTGTGGGCGAACGTAGCGGTTGTAGAATCATTTATTGGTGAACTCTGGCTCCTACGGTCTAGTCTATCAAGTAAAAAAAACTACAGAAAGCTTGGCGTGTTTTGGTCCTGACAATGATCACTTCACTAGCGTAAGACACCCTAAGGATGGTTCGCAAGTGTTTTTGCGTCATTGTGTTCGTTTGTCTTGTTTATGTTAACTTTTTCGCCCAGTCGTCTGTCTGACACATCATCACGCATCACACCCATAGCGCCATGGAAACGTGAACCATCTGTTACGGTGGATCTCTCATCAGGGTCTTTATTTGCATAGAGTCGGTAACGCGAGCAGAGATAAACGTTTGATTTCATGTGTTTACATATGATTAGGAATGTTTTTTTAGATCAGGGATGTGTTTCGTCTAATACACGCTGCGGAACTCAACGGATCCACAAAATACCTAATTGCATTTTTACCTTAAGCAGTAGGATTTTCCAACCGACTAAAATGCTTAATTTTGGACATTTTGCTAAATAAAGTCTTTAGGCTCTTTTTATTTACGAGGAATAAAAACTATAAATGACGAAGCAAGCGATTTTGAAACAAAAGTAATAATTTTTGCAAATTTTTAACAATTTATATGGATAATTATTACTACCGTTGCCTTAGGTGGATGTTAACATATCCTTAAAATTTTGCTACATCTAAATATCTGCTCCTACTGAGCTAGCCGAAGTCAGCATCCTCGGCATAAGTAGAACACTTCCGAGAAAGCTCCCGGTTGTACATACGACCCCGTGTTCATCGTGAAATTACATGTGTATTATGTTATGACAAAATAACCAATTTCAAAGTGATTAGTGCTTATTTTTTACCTTTGTGTTTCATTTAGATAGCAGCCTAAGTTAATAGCAAAGAGTAACCGGAAACCCATGCGTAATTTCCACTACATGTGATGAATATGTGATTAAATTATTTAACCTGTATCTCACAACATATTTCAAGCAGTTAATACCTGCTAGATGGGGTAGAGAGTCTAAATAAACAAAATACAAATGGAGCAATGTTGCAAATTACTAATATGCCATTCATTCCAAGGTAAATTATTTGCAAGAATAAAATATAAAATTACAAAATTAAAAGAATTTCCTAAGGAAATTAAGAGAGCACTTCATTTGTCCTTGTATAGTCCAAAGACGAATAAATACATCGATTCAAAAAATCTAGTTCGTATAAAAAATATCTTTGGTAAAATAAATCATCTGAAATAGTTGTCATTATAGTATACTGGTTCATATCATTATTAATGAGAACTGACAAATATGATTATTATTGCTAAATCACGCAACACCAAATCAAAAAAGGCACATGCGATTTCAACTATCATTATTTTCCTAAATTCACAATCAGGCCATGACTTTTTGGACCAAAAATCCGTATATTTTAATGTTTCCTTACCCTGGAGGGTACATAAAATTATCTGGCAATGGTAAAAAGATTATTTAAGGTATAGTTTGCAGTGACACAGGCAAACGATTTTTCATTGAGGAACCCTGCATATTTGTTTACTCAAGCTGCTGCATCTGTTTATATTCGTGACCCCTAAAATGCGCCAACATGAGCAACAACGGCTATTGAATGATACTGTCAACTATTTTTAGGAGTGCTTAGAAGTTCCTATTATTTCAACTTTGACATTTCTGAAAGTCACATTATTCTTACTCTTATTTTTGCTCTTTTTTGTCATATAATCTAAAAAAATATTATATGAATCTACGTGTTTCCTGATCTTTTCAATCATGTTCATTCAAAATTCCATAATAATATACACTAATATATTAACTCGAATGCTTATAAACGTCCATCTTCTTATCTTGTCTAAATTGAAAATTTTATTTGGCTGAATTGCCTATTTTACTATTTTTTGACATTGGTTGGAATAAGTAATCTTACAGTTTTTGGGTGTATTAGTAATGATTGTGCGAAAGCTAGTTTATTTTGCTTTCTACTTTAGAGTAAACATCAAAACACAAGCGAACGAGGCTTTGATATTGACTGCATGTTTTGCATTCAATCTCATTTTTATATATCGAGGCTTGTTATTCGTTCGTAGTTGATTTTACGTCACTTTAAGGTGAGCTAAGCATGTGCCTCAGCCACTGCACCGTATCCAGTTAAAATTTGGTCTTTTTTAGTGTTAGTCCAAAATCTTTCCTTATATTCTATCGAGAAAAATTGATTTGATTTCTGATATTTGAATCAAACGAAAAATTTTCCTTGTTTGTCCACCTTAATTTTTATAACTATGATTCAGGTTTTCCACTTGCCTGCTGATTTTTGGTTGGAGATTTTTTTGTCATGTATTGCTTCTACAAAAAATTCCTAATTCGAATCCTTAAACCTTTGCCGATTTTTAAGCACTATTTGTACCCTTTTCACCTGCTCATGATGAACTCAAACTCATCTGAGCTGGTTTATGATGTCCTCAGTGGACTTCATTTTAATATTGCAGTTTTTAATTTTCATAATAATAATAATAGAATCAATTTGGTAGTACAATCAAGGCAATACTCTAAACTATAACAGATTTGGTAGATCAATACGAAAACAATTTTGCGTAAATTCTTCAGTAGATATTCTTTTCTTGTCAACCTATCATTCGTCTTCCTTAGATTAATGTACGCCTGGGCTAGGCTAATTGTACAGTTGTTGTATAAAGCAAAATAACCTCTGTCGGATTTACGCTGCCAAATTATTCGAATTTTGTAAATACCTGTTATATTTGATCTGAGATTTTGCATTTTAAATGAGATAATTATTCTAAAATGTTGTCTAAAAGACTCAAAGGCGCTGTACTCTCATTAATTGTACTGTTTGATATTGCTGTCACGCCAAAATACACTTGAGCGATGAAGAGTCATGTTCAGCTCATTGAATGGACAATGAAATTTAAATGCATGATTTAACATTTTGTAATTTTATTTTAGTTCACTCTGACTACCAATAACTCGTTAATTAATACTGAAAACAGACATCTCCAATGATCTACGCCAGTGCCCCCACGTCTGCAAGAACGAAAAATGACAGAACCAGCAGATTTCCAAAAACGACTCGTCTGACCCAAGCGACAAGTGACTGCTCTATGTACGCGCCCCGTTTAGCGTTTATTTATTTGACCATAAAATGGGCTGTTTACTTAGCTAAGTTCTCCCTTATTGACGTGCAGGTCAGCTGACGTTGAATGGGAGAGATACTACTTAAAACACATCAGCGGTCAGGAGACAGGCTCAATTCCACGGCTGTTGCTTGAACAGATAAAACAGCAGCAAATGCAGGTGCGTTCTGTTGTTGATCATTTGTTTTTCCAACACAAAAATCCCGTTTTTTGCCATCATTGTCTTGCTACCATAACCGACTTTGTCTCCAAGGTATTAGTTAACCTGTTACTAATCAGACGTCACTTTGTTGATCATTTCTTCCTGGAAGAAAAAGTTTATCACAATAATACACTCGGATGTAATAAGTACCCGTTTAAACACCCACCTTGGGCTGCATGGCGCAGTAAATTATTGGTTGCTTAGCAGCGCAGGAGTTTTAATTAAATCACCACTGTTTATTGAGTTTTAATTCGTCAAGTCTGTAATTATGCGCGTTACCAAAGCAGCATTCAAGTAAACATCGTAAAAATTCGCGCACTTCAAACGTAAAAAAACTGTTTTGTGAAAGAATTTAACTGATGGCGCAATCCATGAGCTTTGACGAAACCAAATAGTTTCGTTTGCTAAAACATGGTGCACGGTAGCTCCGTGTGACCTTGTAGCTAGTTCTGTTGCCATTGGTGGGCATTGGAAAGTGATTGGTTAATCGTCTACACCGATAACTGCTGATGTTCAGCCAACTATTTTGAAGTTCCACACTTAAAAACGCACACCTGTGATCAGAGGTCATACGACTGACCCCACAAGTCATTTATTTCTTCTCCAAAACATCGAATCTCTTAATTTTGCCTGCAGATAGCCGAGATGAAATGTAGTGAGAGGGCGAGCAACGCGAAGCACCAGGCGACCATCGAGGACATCAGGAGAAGCTACGACCAGGAACTCCTTCGTCTGCAGGCCCTCCTAACCAAAACCCAAGTGCGTTTCAGCCTCGTTTAATCCCGGGCACTCAACCTGGGAGTGCAACTTGCATCGATTGATTTTCGTAGTGAACTGACACCAGCCAGATAAAACTAACCTGAACGTCTAAATCGATGTTGTTTTGTCAAAATGTCCACTCTCTGAGGGGATCTGAGGTTTTGTTTTTTTTGTGAAGGAGGCGCGAATGGTTAGGGATTTAAATCCTGAAACAGCGGACACCGAAAATCTCGATTTGACCTCCAAACCAAGTGGTCTTGAGAAGGAGCTCAAGTTTCAGAGCAGGCTAATCCAGGGCTATCAAAAGGAAAACGAAATGCTGGTTCAGGAGAACAAGAAACTCAAACAGGCAAGTTTTCCACTCTCACAAGGTGGCCAATCACATGCGTTTCCCGTGGAAGCGGCAATTTTGAAATCACAGGAGCTTCGTGGTTTAAATCAGGCTCCTGTCGGCCCTACTGTAAACATTTGTATGTTAAATATGTAGGGCATCCTTTACTATATTAGTTACATTCTACTACTTGCAAGCGGGAAATTATAGTCACCGATTTCTGCTTGGTACACCTGTTTGCTGCAGATCAATATTATTTGGCAAAAAAACCTATTACCAACTTGGCAGTAAAAACGTTCTCCTTTGGCTATCTCACACCGGCGTTTAGCTAACATTAGGAAGGAGGTTTGCGCTACTTACCTTATTAAGGTAGTGTTTATTTTTACAAATTACACAAATGAGGCATCGCTATCGCTACTACATTGACTTCTGGTTGGTCCGTCCGCTTATTGCAGATCAACATTTCTAAACGAGATCCAATTATTTGGCAAACAGACCTATCACCAACTTCGCAGCAAAATCATTTTCAAGTTCCTGTATTCTCTTTCGGTTACCAGAAGCTTGCCTCAGCGTTAGTACCGACTGAAGATGCAAACGCCACGGCTGAAAGGCTTGCACGCGAGAACGCGCGCCTTCAAATCGATTTGCAACGGGCTACAGACGAACTGCAATTCCTCAAGACCTCGCATAAGACGGTTTGGAAAGGTGGCAAGATTTTGTGGTTGTGTTTAGCTCGTGAGGTTAATGTTGCCTTATTTGATTTAACGCCGCGTGATGCATCCTACGCACTTTTTCACGCTTCTTGCAGCCATATAATTCTAGCTACTTAATTACTATTAGTAACACATATTTTGCTAGACATTCAATCTCAACAGGTGGAGGGCAAGGAAGCAGTAGAAACCACCAGTGAACAGGAGGATCAAGCTCAATTAAAGTCAGACCTTCAAGAAACCATTCAACGGCTGGAAGACGAGGTAGATCCACGATATTGGCAAGGCCCTAGGATCTGGAATGTCTTTTTTTGCTTTCATTTGAAGAATGGGACTATAATAATTTCTGAGTCCATTTCCACGAGTTGCTAGTGCAGTGTGATATGACTTGACGCCTGTTTTCTAAATTTGTCTACAGCTGAAGCAAAGTAGGAGTGAATGCAATCGCTTGAAAGCTCGGCTCACCAACATGGAGACATTGTGGGCACAAGACGCGAACGACGACATGACGGAAATCAAAAAGACACTGCATGACAACGAGGCAGCCATGATGCGACTGAAAGAGAAGCTTCGACGACAAGACACTGGCCATACCACCCAAAACCGGCATCTGGCCACCATTAGGAAACAGGTTTGCGCTACTTACTGCATTTTAGTAGATTTTATTTTACCAATTACCCGATTGAGTTGATAAAGCCATGTGTGTACAGAGACACCAGCCGATTCCTGAACAGATCAAAATTTACTCTTTCGCATTCAGAGACTGGAAATCATGAAATTGAAAACCGAACTCAACCTGAAGCAAACTAACCAACCACCTGCAGTCAAGGTACAGTCCATAATTTTGTTTAAAAAAACCAAAAGGCCGCTTGTTACGACTTGCACACGTGACCACTTTGTACTTTTACGAGACATACTGATGAGTGTTCAGGTTAGCCGCCCTCGTGAATTTGACCTCGATTCTGGTCCAAGAACTAATCCTCACACCTAAACTGCCGGATTTCGTGCAATCGTCAATTAGAGCACGGAAAGTTCACGGTTTAAAGCCAACGCATTGACTTAATACACAATGCTGCGGTGAACTGCTGTCAGACATTCTGGCCTATCATTGGTCCCGTGTTCGGTAAACACACACCCGCCCACATGCGCACAATGACACTTCATGCCCAGTACGAGATTAATGTGAAATTAATGTTGTGTTAGAGAAGTGATTTTTACTGAAGAATTAACATCACATCCTTCACCATATTAGCCTGTGTAAATGCACAGCTTGTGGACGAGTTGTGACGACGCGGTTGTGGATGGAAGAACTTGGAGGAGGTGCCGCAGTGCCTCTTTTGCTTGAATCAGAAGTTCTACAAGACATTCAGGGGGATGCAGAACACGCGGAAAGGCTAGATGGAGTACTTCGTAGATGAAGTAGAAATCAACGACCCTCCAAGGAACCAAAATGTGTCCTCTGCTTGCTGAGGACGCCCCAGAGAACGCTGATTCGTTTGCAGAATTCAAGTTTTCGTGGAGGCTCAAGGTGCCACGTAATATCACAGTGTAAGGGGCAGCCCACAGAAGTCCAAGTCTCTTTGGCATAGACATAGTCAGAAACGACAGGACCCATTCCTCTCTGAAGCTGGATCTTCCAGCGCCAACATGAGTGTCTCAGACAGTGAAATGATTCCTTTTAATACAGACACAGATGAGGCGACTGGGGATTCTATGGATCCATTTTGTTAAAGTTTAGGTATTTGCGTAGTTTGAATACAAAAATGGACTGTAATTTCTTCCTACAGGCCACTAGGAGAATGCCTGAACGGCGACCGGAAGTTCAAATCGGAAGCTCAAAGCCAGGCCTTGACAACGGGAAGCAGTCGTTGGGAGGTAGAACCATTCACCTGCTTCAAAAGAACTTCGACGTTCTCAAAAGAGAGGTTAGTCTGTACTTTGTTCTCACGCGGATGTCCTCGAGTCGACGCAGGGTGCATTCGAGGTGAAAGGTGCTGCAGCACACCGACACACGTTTGAATTTCGCGGATTTAATAACTAGCCAATAAAAAACCACGTCATTTTTGGCGCCTAGTACGAGGAGTACATCCGTGTGCTGGAGGAGAATTTGGAGGTGTGCGGCAAGTCGGTGGGCACTGGAGCGAGACCACAGGCATCGGCTGCTGACGCCGCCGCCATCCAATCGCACATCGATCACCTAAGAGCGGAACTCAATCGAAGACTCGCGGGGGTCGCGCGAGGCGATGCTGTGACCTCCCCTCCGCCCCAGCCACTCTTAGTGGTGAGCTCCTCGTGATTCCTTCCACTCCCAGTTTGAGATCTGCAAAAAAACCGACTCTATTTGTTTTAACTAGGACAAAGAGACAGCCACTGCCATCTCTGCTCCCAGGACTGCCGTCGAAGCTGTTCAAACCGACAAAACAGCAACCTGCTCGACTTCGACAGCCGCGGTTCGTCCACGATGTGGAAGAGTCTGAAGAATGCGGCGTTGCTTCCTTGGTCACCTCAAATTTTATGGTTTTTTTTTCAGACACAGACCGCCCAAACGTCGTCAGACGGCATCGCGAACACTCAGGATCAGAGAGGAAACGAAAATAGACAGGAGTCAGTGTTCGTCGCAGCTTTTAATTCCAGTCAAAAGCAAGTCGCAGACGCCAAGGTAAAGCTCGTTTGACATGGATGGTTCCACAGTGGCGTGCTGGCGACGCCTGACATTCAAGGTTGTCTCCTTGCGTAGAATCAGATGGACATCCAACGCCTCAAAGCAGCCACGAAGTTGGAAGCCTTGGCAACAAGCCTTGCAAGGATTCCAGCGTCCACAATGACGCCGTCCACGAACGAGGCGAGGAGGCCACTGGCCGACAAGGTCACGCGTCTGTGCTGCGAGCTCAACGTGACGCGTCAGCGCGCGGACAGACTGCAGGCGCAGCTGGACACACTGAGGCGCGTGCACATTGCCGCCATCACCGGACAGCCGAGCGCAGAGGTCACAGCGCGCCTCCTCCACCACCTCACCGAGCTGGAACAGCAGCAGAATCGCAAGAGTCGGCGCCTTGAGGAGTAGGTTTCTCTTGACGCATGTGCTTATTCACCCGCCCCCCTTCAGGTACATTCAAAGCCGCCTGGTTGACGCTCACACCAGAGGCGAGTGCCCGTGCTCCCGCGACGCTGACGTGGCCGCCTCGTACTGGCGCCGGATCGCCGAAAAACGAGGCCGACACGTTGCCCTCCTCGACTCCGAACTCGACAAACTCACCGCTCTGCTAGTCGAGGTCAGCACGACTCACCCGCCCCCCAATCCCCCACTGTCCGCCACCGGCACACCTTGAAAAACCGACACCAGTCCCGCCCTCGATTTTGTTTCACTCCTCCGCCAAATTTGCCACGATCGTTCTTTGTAGTAATAAAGCCGCGTATCACAAAAAGAAGACCATCGTTCGCAAAAGAGCGAAAGTACCACCCACCCAAAATGATAAATGCGCACACGTTTCCCCCCAAATTTTCCATCTAAAGTGTGCCTGGATCTTCAGACTCGCTAAAATTACTTCCCCAAGTCCGATAAGTGCCCAATGCGCCGTCGAACGTCCGCAGCTTAAAATCCGCCTTTCCGAACCGACCAATCAGAAACGGGCCTCGGCTTGCTGGCAGTTCACGCCACATGCGGCGGTAAAAATTAACAAAGTAGGCAACACCGGCTAAAATGTATTTGCAATAACAGTCGGCAAGCAAAAACAAAACCCGTTAAATACACACGTCAAGTGCAAGAAAAATATCAAAGATGAGCAAAGCCAGGCGAGGTAGGTAGCTTGTGCTAGCTAACATCGAAGTCGTAGAGGATGATGTTCTTGTCGTAGGAGCCTGAGATAACCACAGATCCGTATATGAGTAGGCACGTGACTCCATCCTCGTGACCTCGAAGACAACCAATCGGAGTGTTTGTGTCCGTGCGCCAGATCTACAAACCAACAAACATTCACTTTGACAAGGCAGTTGCATTTCTGCTGATCTTTAAGACATTAAACCATCTGAGGGTTCGATTCTGGACTCTTTAATGTTCCCTGAGCAGCTATGTGAGTTTGGGATCGTGGACAACGCCATAGCGGCACTTAGTGGACGGACAAGACACCTGGAAGCCAGTACCTTGATGGTCTGATCGTCGCAGCCACACAGGAGGTGCCATCCGTCTCCAGCCAGACACCGGATGACCGCGCCCGTCGACTGGGTGTTCGCCGCCTCCACGCGGAGTTGTTCCACGAGCTTGGGCAGCGCGAAGTCGACATCAGCGTCGGTGGCCGGCTGCGAGGTGGGGATCTGCCACACGCAGATCTGTCCGTCGTGGTGGGCCACGAACAGACGTCGGCGTTGGGCGTCGAGGTGCAGACTAGTCACCGGCGTCGTCCACGACTCGGCGCTCGGATTGGCGCCGGGTCGAACGATTGTGTGGTAGCACACCGCTGTGGACAGATTCCACACCTGTGGTGGAAGAGGGGGGTTAGAATAAGAACCGGGAATTCCTTAATTACGGGATGCCGCTTCTTGTGACTCACCCGAACGGTGTTATCGAGGGATCCGGAGTAGAGGAGGGTGTCATCGTAGGTGAGACAGACAACACCAGCGGTATGACCTCTGAAAATGGACATCGAACACGTCGGCACACACACACACATCAGCTGACTGAATAGGGATAAATATTGCAGACTGACACTTCGGAAAAGCCTTATTCTGCTGTTTCTGCCAAAATGTTTTTTAAAATTTTGAAGATCGACTCACAAAAACCCAACGACCGTTCTATATTTGAGATAATTTCCGAAAAATGACTTAATTTGCACCGATTTTTCAGCAAATTTATTGTTTCGCAGTCAGTCTGACGACCAGCTTCCAGAAATTCGCAACTAGGTACACCCTTCATGTCCCGTCACCAGATACACAGTAAAACCGTCTTCAAATGGATGTACTGGGTTGCTGCCCAGCATCCACCCACGACACATTTTTACTTTTGGGTTTCTCGTAACAAAAAGATATACTTTTCATCACTCGTCACAATTTCCCACAAGACGTCCATTCACTGCTTGTTGCCGGTGGGTAAGCAGTGAGAGGCATGTGTGTTCGTGCGTTGTGTTCGGTCAACACATGTGGTGGGTCCCAACTGCCAAGTTTTTGAATTTTTCCCAATTGGGAGCTGCAAACGCTGATCGGGTGACCCCCAACTGAGCTGCAGGCCCCTAGTGCGTTAGCGTTGAGTCTCCGTCCAGTAGAGCCTACAATTCCGCATCTTCAAACTTTCAAGGCTGCCGTCCGGTAAGTGACTGGCCAATAAGATCGAAATCATCACTTCTAAAACGCTTGCACCAATAAAACCACGTTTCCTGAGACACAACGTCGGCACCAAGAACACTGCAAACTGATTCCAAGTAACTTACGTAGACCTGTTGTTCGACGTTCAGAAATCTTGCTGCCGATCCTTTCGAAACCACAGAGGCCGCGAAAATGTAAATATATTTTAAGCATAATGTTAACCTCGAAGACAAAATCCAGACAAATCAGGTCATGCATCTGATGTCTTTGTAGCCAGAGATTTGAGTGAATTATCAAGTTTCATTGGAAGCAAAGCCTTACCGAAATATCACCTTCTGACGGCTGGAAGCAAGGTCCCACAGCCGAAGTGTGCAGTCGTAGGATCCGCTCACCGCCTTCTCAGAGTCTGCCTGCGGGAAAATTAAAAAAAATGGCAAAAATTGGCAGTTTGACGGGGTCTCGAACCATCTGACACACAACCAATTACACTTAAACAACGCCCTACCATTCACTGACAGATCTGCAGTTCTGACCAATCGCAGTCAGCCACTGCAAGGTCAGGTCGAGATCTCACAAATTACCGTGATTTTAAGTGGTCAGGTGGAGGGAAGAAACAAACCTGGTTCAAGGCCACGGGTCTCTGACAAACAGCAATCCTACAACTGGGTTGTAAACATGTTTAACTGCCATCAATCAGCCAATAACCAGGTCCAACATATTTTCGTGTTTTATTGTCGAAATTTAAACCACGTCATAAAAACAGCAGATTTACGATCCAATTGTAGAAATACAATTCGATTGAACGGCTGGTTATGATGCAAATCGAGTGAAATTGGCATGATCCCAACCCGACCTTGAAACGGCCCAAGTTGATTGGCGGAACCAGTGAACCAATCTGTGCGTGAGACTTAACTCGGATAAAGAGTCACCTTGAAGACACTGAGACGAATTAGAAACCGGCACGAAGTTGCGGTTTCTGGCTACAGGCAGAATCAACCATTAGTGGTGCAGTGATTCGTGTCAATTCACGTCCACTGCAAATTCAGACACCTCACTCGGATTCTTGAACAATAATTAGACAAAAGCAGTAGCGGAGACACCAATTAGGCTGTCACGGAGGCAATGCCGTGTCAGGCGCAGTCGAGCTGACTGCAATTTCCGATCCGAAGGTGGAATACCAGGTTGGGAAAGCCGTTGTCTTTCACGCATGAGGTAGAAATTAACTATATGGCGAATTTGACATCGGATAATCCCCACGGAGAGTAAACCTAATTAGAAAAAGGCCACACAATATGCACACACCGGCTGGCAGGACTAAAACCACAACAGCAGCCATCATGCAAATGCGATGCGATGCGGGCAGAGAATAGATACTTAGAGACACGCAATCAGTGGATAAAATTCCACGTCGGATCCTTACTTAGATCAAATCACATTTCGTAGGGATGTTCTAGACAGATGGTCTATAAATCTAGCTGGACATGATCACGAAAATTCGGAAAATCGAAATTTTGACCGATCACACTTGTTATTGAAGACAACAAAAAACATTTCAACGAAGCCATTTCGAAATTTTGAATGGCGGATGAGTCAAATAGCCTCTAACACCAGATTTGTGGAGTCCTTTCGAAGAAGACGCATTCGAGGAGAGGAGAAGTGAGGGACTAGACGACGCACAGATGAAGATATGTCGAGAATGCGCCAGGGAGTTACAAATTAAAAATAATGCATTTTGAGAGCGTCGAGATCCAGGTAACCGGAGCAGTGCGGTGGCCTAGTTTCAGGTCAAGTTGGCTGCCATGACCTTGAGAGCAGGTGCCTCGGTGACAGGGCACACGCCGCAGAGGCCTGATGAACATTCACGCACACACAAACACAAAATTGTACAGGCAACCAATCGCATCGCAGATGACACAGCAAACACACCAATGAAAATGCGCCAGGATTTAAGGAGTGCTATGGCAGGTCAGCCAATGCCGAAAGAGTTACCTGAACACACCGCACAGTGTCGAAGTGGCCCTAGAGGGCAATGAAGCAAGCACATACTGCAGAAGCCTGGTAAATAGAGTGCATATTCACACACAAACCAATCGCATCTCAGATGACACAGCGAACACACCAATGAAAATGCAGCATTATGCAAGTCAGCCAATGGGGAAAGAGTTACCTGGACACACCGCACAGTGTCGAAGTGGCCCTGGAGGGTGCTGATGCAGGTGATGCGCGACCACTCGAAAGTGGAGGAGAGGCGCCACAACTTGAGGGTCGTGTCGACGGACCCCGAGATGAGGAGGGCCTCGGGGGGTTCCCAGACGCTGGGCGAGGAACGCGGCGTCGACACGAGGTTGGGATTGGCCAGGGCGGGCGGCAGCGGCAGCAGCTCCACGCAGCGCACGGCGCCCGAGTGGCCGCGCAGCGTCTGCGCCAGCCAATTGGCGTTCGAGCAGACCTTCCACACGCAGATCGTCGAGTCGGCGGAACCGCTGACGATGCGGTAGGCGTCGTACGCCAGGCAGTGCACAGCTGGAACGCAAGAGCGAAAGTGACGCGGGTTAGGGGTCCGCGCATTCCAATTGCACACCCTTGACACCGTTTTAAATGTGCTTGTCACGCATGCTCTTTCCTCCACAACCAAAGAGGAAGACGCATTACAGAAGGGCGTGGCGACAACTGGACGCTGAAACACCCAGAAGGACACCTATGTCGACCGCTTTCACACCAAGTACGCTGGCAGACGTTCAACAACGACCAGGGTTTCAAAATTTCGAAAGTATTTAGCAAAGCGTGTTTCAAATGCCTACATTATCTTTGATTTGAAAAAAAAAGTAACCAAGTGGACGAACACAGCTCAAATAAGCAAAATCACACTGTTAAACACAACAACAATTGCCTGGTAACCTTGGTGACTTACAAGTCCGTGAAAAGCCCTCTTTGTAAACAAAAAAATGGGCGAGTACCACGCGCAACTCACCTCCGGTGTGGCCAACGAAGCGGCGAATTCTGTGCTTGCCTCGTTGCCAATTCTTCCGTACTTGATAACGCCACTTGAACCTCTGGTACCACTACAATTTGAAATCAGATAGCTTTTTTTAAACAAAAAACTGTTTTAAGTGGAAGGAACACTCTCTGGCAATGACCTCACGCCAGACGGAACAGCTAGCAAGTAGAGGCAGAATTTAATAATGTTGGCAAAAAAACGAACACTTCAAGGTTACTTCTGAAGAAAATTGTGCGGTATTTTGTTGCAACCTTGTAGTTCGATAAAACAAAAGTTATCGACGTGTGTGTTGAGTGCTAGACAGACCTGGAGATGCTTTCACCCGGAAAGGTCCGACTCAAACTCATCGATGTCGTTTTCTTCCTGGAACGAGTTTTCGCTAGTGAGAAAGCGTGGACCACAAACGATCGTTACTTGATTGGGACGACAGCAATAGAGAGATGCTTGCGTTTGAAGGTGGCGCTGCCAGCTAGCAAGAAACCCAACTCACGTCAACGTCTTCCGAGGGTGGGCTTTCGATGCTAGCACCGCCAAAGAAGGCACTTCTGCGGTCGGCTTTGGATTGGGGGGATGTCTCGGTTTCAGAGTGCTTCGTGGAGGAGATGGTGGGGGTGGTTGTCGCGGTGGTGGGGCTGAGGTTGGGGAAGAAGAAATTCGCATCGCGACATTCAAGGGGAGGCGGGAAGTCGGCGTCGAGATTGGGCAGCGACCACTCCGGACTGAGACAGAGGCGTCGGAAGAGTTGAGGGTGATGAGCGGCCCGGTGCCAGGCTCTGTTCACCCGCGATGCGCGCATCAGACATTCTGCAAGGATCGAGGAGGTTTCAAGCTAAGCACATCTAATACCAGCATTCACTACTAATGACGTAGTCATGTGCATGTATGGTTCAAGTCATAAATTAGATTACCTACAATTAAACAAGCGCAACTAATCAAGCTTGCAATAGGGAATTTAACCATACAAATGTGAAATCTGTGATCGCTATGTGGCAATATCCATACAACGCAGTTCTCTTGACAGACAAGTTACTCCATTGCAAACAGTCAGGACGGGATGGGAAAAAAATTCATGCCAGAATTGGGGAGAAACATAGCGAACTAACCAGGTCGAAGGTAGCTGAATATCCGCAGTACAAGCTCCTGAGGAAGCCATCGAACAAAATCGTGACAGTTGTCTTCTTTACAGTCGCTGTGGAGACGCGATGCTAGACGAAGACTTTCGAAGTGGTTCAACTGGATATTGGCCTATTGTAGTGAAACAAATCGCCCTGTTATATGTCAAACGAAACCTGACTCATTGTGTCCTAATGACGACTTAACGCAAGGAGCGTGTCAAAGGAACAAGTATAGATTTTTAAATATAAAAATGGCACGTACCGTGATCTCCCCCAGTAAGCGATGTCTGTGGCTTGCGGATAATAAACGGCACAGTTTTGAAACGAGCTACAAACCAAAAAATGCATTATTTAGAAAAGGAATAGCTAGGCTTGAGGAATGCCAAAAACTCACTTTAAATGATTGGTTTGCATCCAAAGTGATTGTAAGTCCTTGCCTAGATATCAGGGTAAACGCTTGCAATAAAAGAAACCTACCGGTCGAAGGTGGAACAAGTTGGTTTAAAGCCAAGCATAAATACAGGAGACGAACTGCCATTCTACAGGAAAAAACAAACGCTAGAATGTGTTTAGAGAAGGTTTAAGAAAAGGGGGAGATTATTAGACAAATGAACACCTCAACCGAAACGCATTCGGAGAGATCCAACGTGGTTGTGCAAGGCCTCTTTGGGAGGGCTGTCATGTCATGCGTTACTAAAACGAAAAAAATTAGAGCACTACTTGACTGCTAAAGCAAGTCGGTGCGATTAACTTAAGAGTGGGCTATACAGGAGGCTGTTTGCCCAACCCAAATGAAAAAAGAACATTGAGCAGACAAAGGACGAAAGCAGTAAAATGAATAATTAGATTAAATTATTTTAGATGGCACCCTTTACTAAAAAAACATTCACGAAAATTTTTTTATTATTAACTAGAGTTAGAACGGGGCACTAAATTCAGGATCCACAGGGTATGCGATAAAGTAAATCAAAGGGTCTTGTGATTCCACGATTTCGACACTCCCTCTTGAAATGTGAAGAAAATTCGAGAATTTGCATTTAAAAGTAGAATTAAAATGATGTCACCAATAGGAACTGTCATGACGACGAAGCAAGACTGTATCGGCCAAGATTACTTAGGTTAAACTACATGACATCCAAAAAAGAGAAGAATTTTATCCGCGATTGATGGGGTTAGTCAGTTTCCGAGAGTCAGGTTTGTGAACTTCTCAAAATTAACCAAATTTGTCAGGTATAGACACAAAAACATTACAGATTTTAAGAGGAGACAACTGTGAGTAGTAAAAAAGGCAACATCGAAGGTAAGAAAATATGAAACAGAACACAGCGAATAAAGGAGCTATCGACTACGCACACAAATTCACAATCCGGACCTTTCCGGAGCAAATCACAACATTGAACACCTAGTAAGGTCGAGTTAGGGTCTAGGGCGGACATCATCTTCATCATCACAATGTTGCTAATTTTATCAAAATCCGAGCATTTTTCATTTTTAATGTTTGTGCGAAATAGATATCATTACTGTGCAATTAGTTGCAGTTAAAAGCAGGCCAATGTTGTGTTACACAAAGTATTAGTTGCCAATGGTTCCGGGAATTGGGATTTAAAATTGGCTATGCTTTTTATTGTGGAAGACTGCAAAGTGCATTTCGTCCATTTTATCCTGGAATTTTTTTTATCAAAACCAAGACTTTGATATATAGAGTGCTGTATCGAAAGGTTAAAATGGAAAGAACTAGTCTGAATCCTACCTACTTAGAGTACGACCTTCATGTTAAATGAGATTTGACACATCCGCAATTGAAGCGATACACTGGAAGGTATTTGCAAAACTTAAATTTATGAAAATGACACCACTGCTAGCCAACGTCATAGCCTAAAAAGTTATTTTTTTTTCCAATAATACTATTAGCTATTTAAAGACTGAGTCTGAGTTAAAACTAATTGTTTTCGGTTGATGACTGCTCAAATAAAATGGAAATGTGGACGCCCTATTTAAATTAGCCCCAATTATTACATTTTCGCATTTAAAATGGTGGTGAAGGTGCCCTATGCGCAATGCGACGGACATAAATAAAGACTACTGAAATCTAGAAGTAAAATATAATCGCTAGGACGATAAACGTTTACGGGAGACACGCGAATTCAGCTTTGGCAGGTGAATGACTAACGAACTACTGTGCTGTACAATGGCGTGATATAAGTCTTGAGTTTATTACATGGTTTCCAGTACAACTAACGGTGCAGCTTATCGCAAAATACAGTTTTTCCAGTTCCTTTTTTGTGTTAATGTGAAATTTGTCTAATTATTAGTAGATATCAATGTGAACGCCAAAGTTTTGCAGATCTACATGCGAATTTCGGGATGCTGAGGTGGTCAAATGTCGTTAACACGCGAGATTTTATAAACAGTCAATGGCGCCAACAAATCATTTGTTGGCGGAAATCACCAATCAGATGTCTTGTAAGTACCACAGAGATGTTTGCGGATTTTCGATATCGCAAAGGGTCAGCGTCAATGCTATGGAAAATCCTAACATGAGGTAGTTGGCACAGGTTTGGTTCAGCAAAAATAACAGCCGGAAGTGCCTGTCAATCACGTGATGCACCTGTGATCTCTCGCATTTGTCGTCTACATCCCATCGATCGACCTCCAGCTGACCAAAAGGAACACTGCATTCTCTCGCGTGAATTGATTGGACTCGATTTACAACTACATATTTTGTATTGTACCTTGATTTCTGGATTCGCTTGATTAGTACTTAGTGCTAAAGGAAAGTAGATGTGCAAGTTTAAAAAAGCATCATTTTAGAAAAAAATATTTTTGTCAGTTTCAACGAGCCATTTAACAATCAGAGCAAAGACGAAATCTGCAAATATAGGACAAAATTCACAAGAATTCACTCGTGGTTACATTCACGAAATGCAGGAGTTCTTGTTGTCTACACTAAATAATCACAAAAGTAGTTTCGGTGGGACTGATGGAATCAACCTTCCCCAAAAGGGCAGCAGAGTGTACATTTTACTCACCAGACACGGGTCTGCTTTTAAAACTGCCGCCTCAAAATTACGTCAATTTTCCTGACTGCGATTGGATCGCGATCGCAACATAAAACTCTTGCTTTCAGACAGACTACAATTAGTTACGACTTGTATGCTTCCAGTCACGCATGGAAGTCCGCAAATTTTAGGATATTTTGCTTAAACTTTTGCCAGCGACCACCGACAACTCTCTACGTCCATAGTTTTCATTTTTGCTGAGTGACAAGGACAACAAAGTAAGAGTTTTCAGGTAGACGATCGTTGCATTCTCATTCCCCCACCGATCCCTTTTAGCACAATTCTACGCCTTTTGAAGTGGAACAACCACACCAATCCTAGAGTTGAAACTGACATCGAATCTTCGAGATGATTTAGGCTGAGGTTTGCACATTCGCCATCAAAATTCCGCATGTCTCATTTTAGCATCGAAACCAATCGGTAGACGCAGACAAGCACGTTACCAACAGTTCCTGGCACGAAGCCACTAACACGAGCGAAATCTGATGATTAAGACAGATCTTCCCCTCAATCAAGTAGGTTGTGATGCGCTCTGGCAGGAATGAGCACAAGCATCTGCCAACCTACGAGTCGAGGAGTCGAATCCGCCCCGTCTGAATCTGCTCACTTTTGCAAATGAGTTAGTCCAGACCTGGGAGTTTGCCTCTTTCTCTGCCCTTCGTCAATTAGCCAATCAGGAGAGCACAAATTAACCAATCATGCGCCTGCCAGCTGATTAGTAACTTTGCTTTGCGCGCGCACACGGCTGAGGTGATTTGCGTACGCTCAGGTATCGATTTTTTCAGCCAGCTGCGATGTCGTCCAAGCGAGCGAATAGAAACCGTGCTTTTAGTTGGCATTTTCAGCTAATTGTTAATTGCGGTTAAGCTGGCAGCAACTTCTCCCAAAATTCAACTGACCGTAAAAATGGAGTGATTTAGCCAACATCATCATTTAAGAGTAAATGTCCTCTGCAGGATGTCTCTGGTCTTCAACATCGCAAAACTTTGCGCATACCCCAGAATTTGTCTTGGCCATGAGACGCCCTGCTCGTATTACCCTCATTTCAAGCCATTTGACCGCGTGATTTGAGGCTAAAATAATCAAAGTTTTGTCATGATTTCTTGATTTTCATCTGCAGTCACTAAGTTCATTGTTTGCACTGAGTTGACCGTAATTCACATGTTACACAATCGGCAAATTATTGCAATGAATTCCCCCTGTCATCTTAAAAAGACAAGTTTAATGCAAAAAGTAATTAACTGACAGAAATACTTTTTGAGATTAGAAGTCCCAGGTAAGTTGTTAAAGCAACTAACCGCAAGGTTAACGTGCTGGGTGATAACTCCGAAATCAATGGATGCTTGGTCAGTAGTTGCGGCTTTTAAAAAATTCTGATTAGGCCAATGTGGAATAGATGGTGTCAGCTTTTCAATAGAACTGTCAGCCTTTTACCCTAATTTTATGTTGAAATGAATTCAATTTTTTTAGGAAAACACAGTTTATCTTGTGATGAAGCGTTTGCTTTAAAATTACGCTGTAGGGATAACCTCAATATGTTTGTTCAATTAAACTTTGAAGGTATTTGCGACCTTATTTTAATTTCGAGGTTTATTTGCAAACAGCGCATGACTAGTAACCAATTCCGTACTTTGATTTGTCGATAATAGCATTTTGTCAAGGTGTCCGAACGTGCAGACGACGTGACAGATGACTGGCCAATTGGAAAATCGATTATATCGTGTCGACGATTTGAACACTGCCGAAGCTGCCAATGAAAAAATAACATCGGCGGATTTTTTGTGCTCAAGGGCTTCTTGCAAACGACAAACCAACACTCTTGCTTAGCTTCATTTTATTGAAAATTTTACTAAGTTGACTTTATTTTTTTATCAATACTTTTTCAGAATGAAAGTTGGTGATCCGCGAAATGATTGGCTAATTGACGCCAATCAGATTTTCCCTTTTTATGATCGATCACAACGCAGGTAGTGAATATGGCGTATAATTGGACAATGCAGTTTCACCTTAAGACTGCTCACGAAATGTCCATGTCTTAACTTGCTTTCTCAGTTTCTACGAAAGTTAAAGTTGGCAAAATAATGTTCATTCAGAAATTTACTATTAAATATTTTTGCATCAACTCTGGTTTAAACTAGAGACGACTACACGTTTAGGTACATTCAACTAAAAATTTCAAAATTGTCGCTTTAATATTCAGTATAAAATTGGTTGTTTTACTGGACTCGTGTGCGGGTACGGTTAGCGCCATACTGGCGTGCTTTTAAAGTCAATTTTGTTGCACACGTGACACTAATTAAGGTCTGATGAAGCACAAACAACTGTTTTAAAAATCACATAAATATTTCTGAAACCTGTGATTTGTGGTTATGATGTTGGTGAGTTTATCTGTACGTGGCTAAATCAAGCAAGAAATTTCTCTCCAGCAAACTTCCTTCTGTCACGCACAAAAGCGTTTACTGCCGCGTGAGCAGATGGGTTAAACGTGACACAGCCACGATGCAGGGCTGTGAGTGGTTAAAATTCGTCCAGGCTAACTCCGGTCAGCAAGAATCAACAGTTTTTGATTTGATTTCATTAAAAAAGGCGGAGTTAAAATAAATAAACAGACCGCGAAACATATTCGATGACCAGATTTCAGCCTGAAGGTATGAGTCACGGTTTTCAATTGAGCGACGTGGAATCACACACGTCCCTGTGGTCTGGTGAACTGATTTATTCTTCAACAATTTATCCCTCCTGTCTCCTTTGCATTGTCATCAAAGCCTTGAGCTCGCATTTGGAGTAGGCGTGATGCAGTCAACACCGTTCACTTTGCCGTTTTACATTCAAAGTGCATCAATTGGGAAAATTAATATTTACTTTTTTAAAATAAGTAGCAATATAAAAATATATTCAAATATGAAACAGGATAAATATCCCTTCCACTTGGTCGTCCACAAATCTCTCGTTTGTATAACAAATTAGTGGAAACCGCAATTCACTGTGTCGTGAACGAGTGCACAGTTGACCTTGCAAACTGCCTGCTCAGTCTAACGACCAGTCAATCGCTTTGATGTCCTTCAACTGAAATTTACTCCAGTTGACAAGAACAGTTGCCAGTGACCACTCATGAAGGCCCCTGGCTTCCTGTGTTGTGCTGGCTGCGTGGCGATTCGCTCCTGCGTAGCTGCGACAATGATTGAGAAGGCGATTTGACCACTGTCCAATGCTTTCGAATGTTGTCAAACCAGTTCTGGGTTGAAGATGGTGTTGCAGTGCCTCTTCACCTCCGCTGGATCTAGTTTGATGAACGGGTGTCATCCAGTGATGACACGAGGTCGATCCTGAACACCTCTTTGTAATGCCGACATCATCCATGGAACATGGCCCGTTCTTGCATCATAGCCGTAGTCACTAATACATCTGGTTAATCCGTTAGGTGCAGAGGCGACCTCATAGCGACGGCGTCCGTGTGGATTGAGATCCGTCGGCATCAACATCACCTGTGCCACTCCACCACACAGGCAAGGCCAAAGCATGAACCCGATTGGGCGATCGTTGTCCAGTGGGTTGCGAGTGATTAGCACTGAGGCGTGTCTGTGAAGCAGAGCTGTCTTCGAGATAGCGTCACTTGTCTGATCGCGTGACTAGAACAGTCCTAAGACGAAACGCAATCTGTCGTCATGAGGAGACAAAGGCTGTCGTGAGATGGAGGTGGAGGTGGGAGGATGAACTGGGAAGAAGTGTTCGCGAGGAAATTAGTCGACCTTGAGGCGCCGAATCAGATCCGTTCTAAGTGTCTGTTACGTTTTCCCATAACAAAAAAGAGGACCACTCGAATAACGGTACCAGACTCCTTGCTGAAAGCTAGAACCGACCTTCTCAGGCTAATACAAGAACAAGACCAGAGCTCGAGTAGAGAGCTTTATTCACGTCAGCCACGCGCAGAGAAGAAGTGCAATCGAAAGTGAAAACGAAACTAATTCAAGCCAGGGTTGATCTTGACTTGATAAAAAGTGTAGCAAAACAAATGTTAGTAATTAATGTAAATAGAATCAGAAACCAACCTTGGGGATTCGTGGATCCCCGACAGTGTCATGGCGACGCAGTGGACACGAGTCATTCCGGCCTCATTTGAGTGGTTGGGCGTCCATAGGATGAATTTCTCGTGCCAGACGACGTCACGCAAGTGTCTGTTTGCGGATCTGAATTTCACTAGATTGATTGGATGCACAGTAGGCTCCTCCTGTGTAGACACAGCGAACCGCTGGCAATAGAAATTGAAGAAAATCAAGGGAAATGGTGATGGTGCGCTACCTGTAATCCAACCTGTCGAAAACATGAGATTCTACCGATTGACAATCATGACACAACGACGTCGATGGGAAAGAAGACGTCGCTATCGAGCGAGTGGCGCCCAGAGGAAGCGACATTTTCGACCCCCGTGACACTCAGTGTTCTGGATCTCCACTGGCTGACCTTGACAAGAAAACGCGTGTTCGTAGACGCTTCGACGACTTGCGAGGCAGGTTTTGACTATGACCGTCTGTCGCCACAACGTGCCGATGAAGACGTTTCAAAATTTGGCACATTGCAACTTTTAGGCGAACAATAAGTGATAGTAATCGTGATGTTGATTCAACTCCTTACTACTACT